TGTGTGTGTGAAAAGGAGAGAGAGAGAGAGAGAGAATGTAAACGCGCATGTTTATGCGCGCGTGTAGTCAGCTGATCGTCGCGACGGTCCCGCGTACCGCCTGCCGGCGGACAGTAAGTTGCGCCGCCCCTGTCTACCATCCGTACGCGGCCCGTAATTTGCTAACTATTTCTCGTTATAATTTGAAAACTAAGCTTCGGACAAAATTTTTGTAAAGGAAAAATCGTCTTAGAATTGAGTTAAGAATACGTCTTTTCAGGGACACCGGGGTTATTCTGATTCACCCTGTATATGTAGTCAAAGGTTGTCATCACATCAATCAATCGATATTGTTGAAATTGATAAGTAGATAGTGGTCCGGGATAGAGAAGGTCAAACTCACTTGTTTGTCACGTGTTTGCTTAACAGAAAATGTATTTATTCGACACGTACAAAAAAGAAAGGCCCTATGCTTTCTCTGTTCTAGAGAATATATAAAATGAACAAAAGAAAAAAACCGTTTTACAAAATAACACTTTTCTTAGCTTTACTCATCTGGTACGCAGATTATCTCTTATCTCTCGCACGACAGTCGGCTGATCAGCTGGACTCTCTCACACACGCTCACACGCTCTTATACTACAGGTGTGCACACCGCGGCGGTCGCTCGGGAAAAGGGAAGATTCTTTGGTCTGTGTTAGCGCGACACCGCAGCACCTCGCGCTCGTTACCAACTAAGCCAATACGGCCAACACCGGCACAGGAATTACTAGCTGCTCTAGTTATATTTTAACAGATATATACAGGGTGGACCATTTTAATCCATCCAGTCGAATATCTCGAAAAATAAGCACATTAGGAAAAAATGTTTTAGACAAAAGTTGTAGGGCTTCGAGGGGGACATAAGATGATAACATTGGTTTGACCCTGAGTGGCGTCGTCAAGGTCAGGACAAGGTCACTTTGATTTTTTTAAATGAAACCCCTAATTTTTCATTACATGTTCTTATAGCACGCCTCGAGAACTTTCCAAAACACATAAATAAAATATTTTTTTATAAAATAAATCTTGAGTTATAAAGCTTGAAAGTTGGAGTACTGTCGGTATTAGCATCATCCAAGGTGTCCAAACACTAGCTAAAGATGGCCAAGGACGTTGGCCTTTATCAATGTCATGACT